AGGTGGAGGGAACAAAGATGAACATTAGTACAGTTACGGGCACAAATTCGGCTGGAGAGGTTCACCGAGGCACAGGCACAAACAACTTACCTGTTCGACGGGATACACATGCCAATGCAGCCATTAACGGCACCGTCAATGGTCACGTCAGTGCTGGGATCTCATCCATAGTAACAGGTGGAGCGACAGGTTTTGGAGGCTCCAACATAACTCACAATGGATCTGGAGCTCTGAGGTCAGATGACAGCCGGCTGTCCCTCGGCGTCATCACAGCCAGCCCCGATGAACACGAGCCTCTTTTGAGCCAAGAACGAGAGCAGCCCGATCAAAGAGACGTGTCCACGAATGTGACCGCTCTCCGCTCGGCCCGACCCAACACCAACAACAACAACAGCAACACGGGGCATGGCCAGGGGGATGGCGACAGTGGCGGAGAAAGTGATGAAGGCGAGCCAGAGGGAAGCAGTGAGGGGACAAGCAGGGAAACTACGGTGCCCCCAGGAGAAAGCTCACTGTCGGGCACTGTTGCAACAGACCCCCAGGGGGAAGCTCCAGTCACCATGAGAGGAGAGGCCCTGCTCAGGCAGCCCAGAGCCCGTAGGCCAGAGAGACCTAACTCTCTGGATCTGTCCTTCACAACACAGGACCTGGCCTCACTAGGTGAGAATCATTTGCAAGTATTCTGTAGTTGTATTGGCCCATTGGATCATACTGCAGTGTAATTGTCTAAAACAACTCTTAAATTTCTCAGAGGGTTCAGTAATTTCCAAACAGAGCAGGTCTCTGTTGTTTATTTTAAATATTACTGAACAGAGAGAAATGGTACATCTCCGTGAGGGGCTGTTTTCAGTGGCAGCTAATCCAATTTGTTGCTAAACTGACTATTTTTGGAAGCACAAAGATGTGTGTGTGTGTGTGTGTGTGTATATATATATATTTCGAGCTTTGAACCACACATATTGTAGATACATTCAGTGTTAATTTGACTGCAGATAAAACGTATTGGCAAGAAGCCCCAGAGTATCACTAGACTAAATCTAATAATCACATTTGACAAACTGGAACCTACAAATGTTTGGCATATTTCATTTAATAAAGTACTTCAAACAGCCCTCTGTTTCTAAATTGTATTATAACTAACTGTAATCCATCCATTATTAACTATGCACATGAAAGTCAATTTGCTCATAACAGATGTCCGCAATATATAATGGAAGCATGAAGTTTGAAAGACATAATGTTTACTAGGCACAAAGAGTGTTGTTGCATTATGGGAAATGTAGGGTCCAAAGCCTTTTGTAGGTTACACAGTCAAAATTGCTGCTTCTGCTGCTTTGATTTTGGTCATTCTTCTTTTTTTTTCTTCTTCTTCTTTTTTATGCTCCAGTTATTGGATTTATTGTCAGTAGTTTTTTTATTTATAATAATAATAATAATAATAATAATAATAATAATAATAATGTTGGAAAAAAGAGGCTTGTGAAATGTAGAAATCAATAGTTTAAACTGAACTGTTGGTCAAAATAAGAAACATTATTAGATATATTTTATTTTTTGTTTCATTTAGAATATTTTAGAAATTAAATGTCTAATCCAGCAATTCAGTTAATAATCATTGTTTAATAGAAAAGAAGGTCCTTATCAAAATGTGTAGTTTTTTATGGCCTCAAGACTCGCTGGTCTTTAATGATTTTCATGCACAAAGGTGTTGCTACATTGCTCATTAATCATTGTTCCACCCTGTTTTCCAGGAGACGGTTTAGTCCAGCTAGATGGAGCGTTGGGGACCGGAGATAAGATCAAGAAGCGCGTCAAAACCCCTTATTCTCTGAAAAAGTGGCGACCCACCACATGGGTCATCTCTACAGATACCCGGGGGCCAGAAGTTAACAACAATGGCTCTACCCGAGGTCAAAGTCACAGTCAGAACCGGCCCAAGTCCAGTTCAGCCATCTACCTGCGGGGGGACAGCTTGGCCAGCGAACCCAGTGACACGCATGTGTAAACTTGGACCCTCTAACAAGCCCGGCAACACTAACTAGAGAGCACTTATTATTTTATTTTGTGTGGAGCTCTCTGCTCTGAATCAGCACGAGGAAGCTATGGAATATGTCACAAACCAACAATAGAGTCTGATCATGTACAGTAATTAGGTCTGTCCCGCTCCTGTGTGTCCTTCTGATGGCATTGCTTTAAATGGAATCCAGCTATGCAGCATTTTCATTGGCTTCTGTTTCTGCATTGTTTGTTTTGTGTTTTTTTTAAATCTTGGTTTGAAGTTTCATAGTGGTACATTAATTCTTTTTTTTTTTATTTGTGCACTTTGAATGAATTTGAAATCAGTGTTTCCTAAACGTGTCTGTTGCGACCAAGACGAAGATTGGTCTCTAAACTTAAACAGGCGATGAAAAAACAATCAACACTCGAGCGCTCGGTTACTCCCCCTTTGCTCTATCGAGTAAAGTGAGAGTGGGCTCTGTAAACAAATTAATGGTCTTAAAAGACAAAGCAACTTTTTAAACATTTTCCTTGTATGCAATACCAATTGTTGTCTCATGACTTTGTATCCTCTTTTTGTATCATACCTTTTAATTGTGCAATAGGATGTAGCTTTTAGATGCTTTCAGTGTTTTTATTGCTTCAATTTTTTTATCCTGTTGTTATTTTGATATGTTAATCTTTGTTGCACTTATGAATAGTCACAGTCGTTTTGTAAACAATCCATCGCACACTATCGTAACCCTCGCTCCCCCCAACCTGACTCACGAGGAGAAAATAGCTGACAATCCTCCTCTTTGGACTATCTTTATGGGAACGCTAACACAAAAGAGTCAGTCCCAGCTGACTTAAAAGTGGGCTGACGTGGAACTTGTCTGCTTGCACAATTACACCAGTAACAAATCTCATTCTGGGGTCTTACAATCACTGGAGCTGAACTTACAGAGGCATCTGTTACAGTGGCTGACTGGAGTCACTGTACCACTATCATTTGACCTCAGTATGGACTCTGCATTTAGCTGTCTGTCTGCAAGACATGAAATATTACAAACCCCAGATTCTGCTGTTCAAACCCAAATCAAAAACTGAAGGAAAAAAAAAACACTGAAGCACGCTGGATATTACTTTTTTGCTTCTTGTCGTCTCATCCCCTGACGGTGGAGTGAGTGATGTGTGTGTGTGTTGCGTGAATGTGCACGTGTTATTTACTCGCGCTGTACAGGCGTGCTGAAATGTCGACATACTCATTCTGTATTTTCAGCGCCGCTTCAGGGCATATGAAAAGATCTCATTTATGTTTTTGTAATCTGTAGTTTGTATCAAAAAAACAACCCTTACATGTATCGCATTAATATTTGCATCATTTTTATGGTATTGTGTTTTGCATTCAATGGACATTGCCTTTGATTCCATTGCTATGCATCTGCTTGGTACAGTTTCTGTAAACATTTTCAAGTCAATATGGAAGAAGAAAAACCCCTCAATAAATGTATGAAATAATTGTTGGGTATATACGTTTAATCTGTGTTTGGGTTCATGCCTTTGGTCCCCCTGAGGTGTTGTCAGCATTATTCAGAAGAAAAACATTTGTGGACGATGTGCAAGGTTAGAACCTGCTGTGAAATAGCTATTTTATTTATTTAACACCATATTTACCACTTTTATGCTATGAAAACAAGAAAAATTGTATAGTCTTTTCTGGTCTTGGTCACACATTTTTTGAACATTTTGTTTGTGCAAAATTAATGTGGCACAATGTTGGTCACTGCCACTGGTAAATCTGCTGATAGCTGTCACTGAGGCCAATATTGACCAAAAAAAGGTGATTACTTATTGTTTTCGTTTGCTTTTGTTTTGTTTTTTGTTTTTTTCGTCAGGAAGGACATCGGCGTTATAATCTTCCAACTCAAACATCGCTGTGGTGGCCTCTTGTGAATAAGAAAAGAGTCTAAAGTGTTTTAAGACGCTTAACAGAACAACAGTGGCAGCACCAAAGGACTACAGAGTCGTAAGCTACACTTCTACAGCCGCATGATGAAACACTTGGCTGTCTTGGACGTAAATCAATGGAATCATTCAAACAGAAATAATATCGGTTGGGTTTTTTTTTTTTTTTTGTTTTGCTTTTGTCTTTTTTGCACCCCTGTCGACCAACCCTCTTAATTCTCAGTGATTAATCAACTCTAGGTAGTCATATCCTCTCGCGCTTGTTTACTTCACCTCTGTTCTCCGCTGTCTGCTCCACGCGCCCTAGCAACTGCAGCATCAGCACGAGCAGCTCAGCGTTGGTAAGCTACGTCAGAGCACTACTTCTTCTGCGCCAAGTCAGCCGGGAGCAGCCAGGACGTACCGGAAGTCGATCACATTACATTCAAAATAAAGTGCCACAAATCTACGCTTTTTCGTTTTGTTTTTTTTTTTTATTATTTTGTATCATCATAACTAAGAAATTCAAAGTGGAAAACAGCTAATATAATCGTTTATTTGTAAAAATGATCCTATAAAAATTATGGTTATCTGCTTTATACTACTTTCTAATGATTTCATTAGTTGAGCAACGAAATTGCAAAACTGCAATAAAGTTATATATATGTGTGTGTGTGTCTATAGAAAAACGAAAAACACAATTATTTCCGTATTGCACTAATAATAATAATAATAATAATAATAATAATAATAATAATGGATTGCATTTATATAGCACTTTTCGAGGCCCTCAAAGCGCTTTACAATTCCACTATTCATTCACTCTCACATTCACACACTGGTGGAAGCAGCTACAGTTGTAGCCACAGCTGCCCTGGGGCAGACTGACAGAAGCGAGGCTGCCATATCGCGCCATCGGCCCCGCTTTCTCCTCATTTGCCGGTGTTGATGTAAATACCAAAGATGACTGTTGTCGTGATCATATATATTAAAGTGAAAGTACCAAATGATCATGATTACGTGGACCTGACAGCGTGCAGATTTGATTGAGAAGATAACAACCGGAAGTATCGGTTACACCGGCTGACTTCACACTGCACTGGTCCCTCTCCCGTTGAGTGAGCGGAGGCTAGCCCAGCATCACCGCCTTCTTCTTTCTATCCTTTCTGAATGTGTTATTCCTGTCTTGTTTTTTGTTGTTGTTGTTTGTTTGTTTAGTTCATTTTCCAGCTCATCACAAACTCCACAGACGAGGCACCCTCGCTCTGTTTTAACAGTTATTTTCTTCGAACACAAAGCGTTTGGCTAGACGCTTAAAGCTGTCGCGTTGCTTCAGCCGGGAGAGAAAAACATCCATCCCCGACGTCTCGAGGAGGCAGGGTGCGAACACAGCAACGCCCATTTTGACACAAGCGGTATCGCTGCTGTCCTCACGAAGGCCGTGTTTCTATTTTTTCCCTCTTTTTCGGTGTCTACCTTTGATATCTGAGTCTACCTTCCTTACTTGTAATCTTCACCCTGGTCATTCTGCCCTGCCTTTTCTCATCGCATCTGTAGCATCTTCGAGTAGTGGCAACAGGGTCCGGGGCTGCCGAAGAGCTCCATGCCCCTTTGCATGCAGCGCACCGAGACTGCATTTTGCAGGTGAGTCTGTTTTTGCATACACAAGGTCAGAAATTTGGATGATGTTCCTGAGCATGGGTTATAGCACCAGCGTGGAATATGTTTTTGTATGTGTGAGGAGGGGTGGCGTGCTTCCCACAAAACACAATCGGCCTACATTTCACCGTGCAGGCTTTTGTATGGAGATGAACGTGCAGGGAGCATTTATTTTTCGTGTTAAGGTCCTCTCATCTAAGGGATATTTCATCCCCTAATATGTCAAGTTAGCATGGAGGGTAGATAGTAATAAAACAGGCAATGTTCAACATTTACAATTAAAACCACATCTATTCTCGTAGTGGTTCGGGCCATGTTCTTAGGCCAAAAAATGTTCTGTTGTTCATGTTGTTCTGACAACAGCATAACAGAAGGTTGAGCCACTCTTCTGTTATTTCTGCTACTACTACTGCTGCTACCAGTGTTACTATTGCTGGTAGCGTACACTCTGCAGGTGATTTGTGGGCAGCCGCTGAGGCAGGAAAAAGCTGCCATCAAAATAAAGTGGTGGGAGCATTTCACTGGCAGACTGCTGATGCTGAAAACCCCGCTTAGTCACACACACACAACCAAGTTCTCTTGTGTGTTAATAATGATCCACACACACCCCCCCCCACACACACACACACACACACACACCACCGACGTTTCCTAGCAACAGCTATATGCACTGGTCAAGGCCCCTGCCAAATTTAGCTCAAGGACACACACACACTACCAGTCAGAGCTGCGTGTTTGCATTTATGGATTCATGTTCTATTCATTTCAACATTATAAGAGAAGATGAATGAGTTGATTCTTTGTTATCCATTAAAACTGTCTGCAGTGTGTGTTTGCACTGTTGCACTGCCGTTCTGCTGTCATAGCAGATGAGGGAGAATTCTGATGTTGAACTGTACTTTTTGGTATTTAAACTTTGTAAATAATCATAATCTCAATATTGAAAATGTAATTCATTAGAATGCAAAGAATTCTCTGTTCTCAGAGAATGCATAGACTCAGAATTACATAAAAGAAGCTGTTGTTAATGCTATATCAACAACCCTACAGTGAGATGGACAGAATCACTATAAGTGGCATCATATACAAGGTTGTAATATACTGTGTATACCAAATTTTTGCCTGTACACCAGCTGTCCCCAACCTTTTTTGCGCCACGGACCGGTTTATGCCCGACAATATTTTCACTTTAAGGTGTCGCAGATAAATACAACAAAATAAAACTAGTACTGGTACCAAAAAAAAGAAGACTTATTCATAACACACGTGAAAAGACCCAGGAAAACCGAGTTAACGATAAAAACGATAACAAAATAACGCTGAAAACCGATAAAAACCCTGAAAACCATACATTTCCCACCTGAGCCTCAACTCTCGCAGCCCGGTACCAAACGACTCATGGACCGGTACCGGTCCGTGGCCCGGGGGTTGGGGACCGCTGCTATATACAGTCCTAGAGGTTTTGTGCAATTCACTGATGGTGTCAGTGAATCACTGCAAAACCTCAACCTGCAGCCAGGGTCAGTTGGGTACGCTCCCCTGCTCTCATTTAAGGTGTCTTAATGCCATTAACCAGGGGGTTGTGTGAGCCTGGCATAGCTGCTCTTCCCAGCATGGGATGGATTAACATCAATCTGGCCACACACAGACACACAGACTCCCTGACACAAACGTAAATACACACAGACCTAGACAGACAGAGCGAGCTTATCCCATTGGCCAGCTGTATGTCTGGTGATTTGTTGATATGTTTACATCAAACGTCTTTACATCTCTAGATCTACTCAAACTCATTTTCTGTTTTCCCTTCAGACTGCATCTGTGGCCTTAACCTTCTAGATTTCTCCTCTGATTGTCCTCAACGCCTCCGGCATTCCCCCCTTCTCTCCCTCTGAGCAGTCTGCTCCCTCATTCTCCTCTCGGTTTCCCGCCATCGCGTCCAGCTGTGGCCCTCACAGGGCACGCTCGCTGGCTCTCACCTGACAGGTCCCTGGCCTCAGGACGACAGCCAGCAACAACACATTCCCTACATGAGGGACAAAGCGACGCAGGTGAGTATAGCGTCTCTTTGTGTAGTAATAATTGTGAGATACACAAAGTTTGCATTTTGTTTATATGCGCAGGCCATAATACATAGTAAAAGTATTATTACTGTTACTGGAAGAGGAAAGAACCCAAAGTGCTGACTGACATAAGGAAGAAAAATTAACAGTCTTAAAAATAAATTGTAGGAATTTTATGTTGCCCTTTTTCAGGCTTATTGGGCAACAGCTTAAGATGCGTTTCAGTCTTCCCAGGCACAGCAGGTATATGTGGGTGGTTTCTGCAAGACTGCAGGAAGAGAGGTTGGTTAGGTTTGGGTGGACATTATAGACTGACTGGATAAACTTGATCTAGGTTGGCTCAGCCTTCCATAGTTTTAACCACAAGATATCCCAGTTCATTAACTGCTCCCATAAATTCCACACCCTTTGCTGCCGCGTCCCAACCATCCTACTGCATTGGGTTTCCTCTACCCCTGCTTGGGTCAGTTCCTGGACCTACTGGCTTCTTTCCCTTCCTATTGAGGTTCCAGAGCTCTCCACTTCCTGCCTGTCCTTACCTCTTATGCCAACCAAGGAGACTCTGGTGTTACTGGAGTCTCTATACAGCATCATCTCTGTTGTTTGGGTTTGTCTGAAAACCATGAATTCTTCTGACAGTCTGCTCAAGAGGAGTCACATCTTATTCTTCCTCCCATATAAAGCTGCCTCTGTGTAATTCATGGTCCTGCAAAAGTGTCTATCTGCGTACACGCTTCAGTTCGGACAGTAAGCGGACAGATATATGCTTCCGTGCAGTCCTCTAAAATCCCAGCTGAACATAACTGTATGACCTGTGTGTCTGGCAAATGCTGATTGGTTCACCGGTGGGTGGAACAGGGAAGACAGCTGAACAGAAGGGAACAGAAGAACCATGAAAAAGATTTTTTTTTTAAAAAATAGAGAATGAAAAGCACAAACAGTGTTTGCAGTATTTTTCACTTCAGCACTTTGTATGTTATGACTGCACTCTTTTCTGCAGCTGGCTGACAAACCAGCAGCAGCATAAGCAAGAGTGGCGCACAAACCGGTTTTACCAGACACTTTGTACACTGACTTGATAACAGAGCTCTCCACAGGTAGACAGGCCATCCCAGACTGCTAACAGACTGTCAGCATGCTACCCTTGCTGAACCACAAATCCACTTTAGGCTACAAGGAAGGGCCAACCACCTACTAGCAATTGTGCTCCCAAACCCATAATGGCCAGTGTGACATTGTAAACCAGCAGTGTGGCAGGATGCCATGCCAGTAAATCCAGCCCTTGAACTTTACTGCCAACACTTTACTGATTTGTCCAACAATATAAGCCAGGTTTTCAGCTCTCTGGTGTTTCATGAGTTATGGTTGTGTTTGCTGTTGGAAGACCTTCCCCAGGCTCTTAACTGGCTTCTCAGTTATAACATAAAAAACATGTGCTGCACCTATAAGTCAGTTCTATAAATGGGGAGTTGGTGTTGTCTGTTTAAATAATCCTATATATTTGATTAAGAACTGTCAAATGTTTTTTGGTTTCAGCTGTATTTTTTTCCTGTTTAGCAGTTTTAAGCTTGTGTGAGCTTTAGTTCTGAACAGTGTATGTGTGGATCTGTGTGTGTCAGACTCCCAGGGCCTGGGCAGATGAGAGGAGGAGGGGCTCACACAAACGCTCGGCCTCCTGTGGGAGCACCGACCAGCTCAAGGAGGTCACTTTCTTACCTGATTACAGGCCCAAATAAACAACAAATTACAATACGGGTGTTGGAACATACTGAATCCCTTGTTTCTCAGCATGCCAACGTTAACACTGATGTCTGTATGTGCTCTCTTCAGATCGCCAAATTGCGTCAGCAGCTACAGCGCAGCAAACGCAGCAGCCGCCATCGGAGGGACAAAGAGCGCAAGGCCCCTTTCAATGGCAGCCACACCATTATCCAATCGCAGGTGACTAATAGAGACAGCATGCAGGTTGGAGGAAGACTGTGTTGGGTACCCGATCTGGGTTTTTGAGGACGTCCCACTTTCTCGATGTCCTTATTTAGCTCCAGTGTGTGTGTGATGTAGATGTACATACACACTTAGTGGCCACTAATGTCATTGTGTACTGTATGCGACAGAGATGGCAGTAGGGCCACTCACACGTTCCCTGTGGAGTCTGTTGCAATGCAGCTGTCCTGTATTCTGGATGTCCTGGAAGAAAATGAATGACTGGCTCAAATATAGTGCATTTATGCTATAGCAAATGTTAGCTCAGATAAATTATCTCCACATTTGTTTCTTTCTATGGCATTGACCGTTTAAAGCAGCGGTCCCCAGCCTTTTTTGTGCCACGGACCGGTTTGTGCCCGACAATATTTTCACGGAATGGCTTTTAAGGTGTCGCGGATAAATACAACAAAATAAAACTAGTACCGGTTCCGAAAAAAAGAAGATTTATTCATAACACACGTGAAAAGACCCAGGAAAACCGAGTTAACAATAAAAACGATAACAAAATAACGCTAAAAACCGATAAAAACCCTGAAAACCACACATTTCACACCCAAGTCTCACTCTCGCGGCCCGGGACCAAATGACTCATGCACCGGTACCGGTCTGTGGCCCGGGGGTTGGGGACCGCTGGTTTAAAGTCACTAAACCCCCAGATGACGTTTGAAATAAATTCGGTTTGTCTGTGTTTTTGCAGTCGCCTATGCCTAAGACCATTCTGATACCCATCCCTATATCCAAGTCGTCGGCCCCTCGTTTCCGCAACAGCGTGGAGGGCCTTAACCAGGAGATCGAACGCATCATCATCCGTGACACCCCCGAGAAGGACGAGACCATTGTTGTGAGTTTCAATGAGTTAACGTGCTCCCAGTGTGTTAAATGTCGTGTCCTTCCCTAAAAAAAAACTAATCTCAGATTGGTTTCTTTTTTAAAGATTGGGGATATAATTGTGATTTTGTGTGTGTGTGTTCGTGCAACAGCCGCAAGATGTCCCCGATGGGCACCGTGCACCCCCTCCTGTCCCCCTACAGCGAAGTAGCAGTACCCGCAGCATCGACACGCAGACTCCCTCTGGCGGGGGCCTGAGCAGTAACCATAGCAACTGCAGTAGCCGTCCCGACTCCATCTCACCCTCCTACCTCACCGTCCTCAACGACACGTGTGGAGGCAGCCCATACGAGGACAAAGGTGACCAACGCATGCATACATACAAGAGTCAAAACCAGACACATAGCGGTGCCTTTGTGAGCTCGACGTGTGGCTAACCCACCTTCTTGCTTATTCTCAGAGCTGGGACCTTGCTCCCCGCTGCCCAAATACGCCGCCTCTCCTAGACCCAACAACAGCTACATGTTCAAGAGAGAACCTCCAGAGGGCTGTGAGAAGGTCAAAGTGTCTGAGGAGTCAATGTGAGTGGAAAAGGAGGTGTTCAGCATCCTTCCAGTTGGAGACCAGCTGCTAACCCTAACCCATAAAATCACATAGAACAACCAAAATTGACATCAAATATGCCAAGTACTGTTTGTGTGTGTGTGAGCGAACCTTAATTTATCTCTCCACAGTCACATTGTTGTCTAAACGCCATTAAAGGTGTCTAAGTGTTTTTCTAAGTGTGTCAAGAGTTTTGCAAAATCATGTATAAAAACGAGAGGTTAACATGTAGGCTAAATATGACTCTGCATGTGTTTCCAGGCCCAAGCCTCTGCAAGAGATCCCTCCCTTTCTGTGTCCTGACCGCAACAAGGTCAACTTCATTCCTAACAGCGGCTCTGCCTTCTGCCTCGTCAGCATCCTCAAGCCCTTACTCCCCGCCCCGGACCTCAACTTTCGCTCTGGCGTGGGCCTGCAAAGCCTGTCCCCATCCCTTGTGCCTCTGTCCACCCAGCCCTGCCTCCTGGAGGAGCCGGAGAGTTTCTGATGCCCCCCCTGCAGCCTTCCAGTCCGCACACACCCCTTCCTTTCCTCTAAAACAGCCTCCCCCCACCAACATAATCCAAAAACATTTGAGGAAATGGCCCTTCTGCTCTAAAAAACTGCCTTCAGCATGCCAGCTAAGCTCTCTCTGATGTCCTTATCTTGTTCAAAAAGCGCTTCCCACTGCCTCTCCTCATCAGACAACTACAATGTGAGAGTCCTGCAGGCCTGAGCAGACCTCTGCAGCTAACATTTCATCGCTTTCTTCTACCTTAGTGCTGGTTATTGTTCCTGTTTTTTGGGAGGAAAAGGGAGGAAGGACAGACTCTTTTATTTCATCGTATTATACCATGGCGCCTTTCCACGGACATATCTTTTTTTCTATCTGTAGTTATTTCTCTTGATATGAAATATGCCTTCCATGATAACAAAAAAGGCTGCTGGTTTCCTTAGTGACCTAGAGTTTGACCACAGAGGCTAATTTTGGTGCTGCCAGAAAATATAGTAGCAAAACTTCAAGAGTCGGGAAAAAGACAAGTTCAAAATGTGCCTGATATTTTTCACTAATTTCCCTGAGTCATCATAGTGCTCTGATGATGTTGATGTTTAGATGAGACATCTTTGCACTATCGTGGCCATATATTCATAGAGAAAGGCTGAACCAGCTTCAAAACAAGCAAACAATGAGACGGTGCATAATTCACACCTTGAAACAAGTAAATACTTTATTTGGACCACCTTGTAAACCAAATCCAGACATCTGTTTTGTACTTTTATTAGCTGTTTGCCACAAAAGTTAGCTAAAACTGGGACAAAGCGGTGCCTTTGTTACGCTAACTGGTAGCAGTGAACTGGTCCCCTGCTGGGCAGCTTGTATCTTTGAGGAACACAGGCCAGGCTAAGCGTGCAGCATGTTCAGCCTCCTTCCCAAGTCTCCCTCTTTTTACTCCGCCGTATTTGTTCCTTCTTTTTCCAGCTCTTTATCCCCTTTTTTCTCTCACTTTCACCGTAATGCAATTTCCTTCTGACTTGCTCAGCTTGTGTTCAAATGTGTCTAGTAGGGCCCCTCTTCCCTGCAGGACAGGCTCCCTTCTGACGTGCAGGGCTGAGAGTACGGAGATGTTGGTGAACCTGAGTGTTACACAGCAGACTGGTCGATGGGGGGGCGTACAAATTAGAACCCACTTTACTGTGTGGATTCGGTCTACAAAGTGACGGGCAGCAATTTGAAGTGAAAGATTAGAGACTAGTGGTGAAGGTAGTAGAGCATTAATGAGCTATAAAGACAGATAGTTCCCTCAGAAATTTGTAGAGACTAAAGATAAAGGTAAACGATAGATTGTAATATTAAAAAATAATATCAGAGTTGAATGTAGTATAAAAATAAACAACCGTGGTTGGATCTGATGTAACTATAGACAGTAAAACCTGGATGTAGCAGGAGCGCATCCTGAATGTTGTACTTTCTGACTTTAGAGTGAGCATAGTTTTAAAAAACAGACTTGCTGTTCTGTTCAGCAACACCTGAAAATGGGGACTGAGCCTTTAAAGCAGGGGTGGGGAACTCCAGGCTTTGAGGGCTGGTGTCCTGCAGGTTTTAGATATCACCCTGGGTCAACACCCCTGAATCAAATGATTAGTTCATTACCAGGCGAGGAGGTAATTTAGCCATTTAAATCAGCTGTGTTGGATCAAGGACACACCCAAAACCTGTAGGACACCAGCCCCTGAGGCCTGGAGTTCCCCACACCTGTTTTAAAGTAATCAAGTGTTTACTGAGCTCATGGAGCGAGATAGTTGAGGGTGATTTTCCCTGAGATTTCTGTCTTAAGATTGCTGTTTTAAGGCACTTCCATGTCAGCTTCACTGCATCTGTTTTTATACTGTCTGCAGCTGCACATCTGATTGGTGCACAAAAGTATAGTCTGTGACTTAACTACAGCGAGCAACATGAAAGATCATTGTATGAAGACAACTGTATTCTTGTGCAGTTTATGGGTCACCAGCCTCTCCCTGCCTCGGCCCATCCTCTTGTATTCTTGTATATGTCTACTACTTGACTGTGCCTGCTATGGTAGGATAGGAATGTACCGGGTTTGTAAATATAGAGGCACGATGTGTTTGTATTTATTGGCTGAAAAAGATATGTATCAGAATGAGTCACAAGTGTACGACTCCCCTTCTCCCCCCTCCTATTCCCTCACCAAGTACTGTGAATTCCTACATGTCTCATTATTGTGAATAATAATAATGTATTTATTTATTAGACAGGAGTGTAATTGGGTCTTAAGAGTTTTAATCCTGAAGAGATTTCATCATCATCCATCTCAGGTTGTAGTGCACAGAACACAAGATACTCAGACTTCTCAGTGCGCACTAACAAGTTTACTGAACCGAGAGCAAACCAACAGCTGCTGTTTATGTAGCCTCACACAGTGCAGATCCTGAATTACTTAAATATGTAGCAGAGCTGAAGTAGAGAGAAGCATTGTTCAGTGACCTGGTCCAGAATAATAGGTAGTCCCAAAAAATGATTATGTAACAAAAAAACATGTTTAAACTATGAAGAAAATGCTGACAAACAATCACACCTACATATTCCCTTTTGTCTTTTTCAGATGTGTTTACAGGAACAAAAAGATTTGTATATGTGAAAATACAGATTTATTCCCCACTTTTAGTTGTATTGGAGTGAGGCACGACACAACAAAAAGTCGACACGTCCGTTTTTTGTTTGCTTGTCCCGTTTATTGGAAACAACTGCCAAGTTAAATTCTTTTGAGTGAAATAAAAAGGAATAGTTAAATAAAGCATCTGTGATTGACTTGAGAAATACATTCTTTTACTTAAAGTGAGGAAATCAAGAGTCAGTAGTGTGTGTGTACATATACACACACACACACATACATATATATATATATATATATATACATACATACTAGGGGTGCAACGATACTCGTATCGATATTGAACCGTTCGATACAGTGCTTTCGGTTCGGTACGCATATGTATGAACAATACAACATTTTTAAATTTATTT